GAAGCAGGGAGACCTTGAAGGCACGTGCTGCTTGTGCAGGTCAGCGTGTGTTGTATGTTCTTTTGCTTGTTTGTCGACAGAGGGGCCAGTTCTGGGAGTTTAAACAAGATAACTGGTAGGGAAAAGAGAGCCTGCCATCCCTCCAGAGAGCAGCATCTCGGAGAGCACCAGCAAAGTATGATTTGTCGTCTGTGAAAAATGTTTGCATTTGACAGCTTTTCACAGAGAGCCTGTCAGAGTGGTAATTTAATGAGTACAGATTGCTCGCAACACAGCTGTAAAACGTGCTTTTACAGTGTTGTAAAATAAGCAACTGAGGCCTTTGTGTGTTTGCTTTGTTTGAGAACAAGTCAACTTCTAATACAAATGAAAGGTGGTCATTTATTTTACCCAGCAAACAGTCAAGACTTTAGAGAGGAACCTGCCATTTTTCTTCTTGTGGTGGCAAGGTTAATGCTGGGTTACATTAGTGTTTACTAATCAGCTTGTTTCTGTGAAGGGGAGAGTTAATATCTAATTAGATATAGGGAGTTGCTAGTCAGATTAGCATTTAAGTCATAAAAAGGACTTTTGGGCTTTTTTCTCTTCATTGCAGACACCTCTGCCCATGGTTTGCACAGAGAAAAGCTTCCTGTTCCTTGCTGTGCCCAAGCTGATTTCTTGAAGGGGTGACAGAAGCTGAGGATGCAGACTTACAGTATGACAACAGCTAGAGTAAAGCACAAATATAATTCACTCCCTGCTGCTGACCAAGTTAAGAGTGCTGTGCATTGCATGGAGGAAGATGTTGCTGCGCATGTCCACTGCTGGGTCCATCCCCGCTTGCTGACATGGAGTTGCCCCTTGCCTTTAGTGCCCTGCTCGGCATCCCTCCTCTTCGCCTTCCCAAACTCATCCTCACCTCAGGAGCCTCGAGGTACCAGAAAGGCTACCCAAGTGCCAAGCTTCTGGTGCCAGTCGCCAGAGCATCCCGTCTGGTGTGGTGGGATGTGGTGATGGGGAAGTTTTGTGGGGCAGGAGGGTGGGTGCTGTCTCTGGGCTCCTCTGTCCTCCTCCCCTTCTTATTTGGAAGTGGCACTTGAGAACCAGCAGTACCAGCGTGGTACCTCCTTCGGCAGTGCTGTGTTGGGGTTTTAGAAGTAACTGGCTGTGGTGGGAAGTTTTCATTTCTTTTATTTTCCTTCCTTTTGGGCAAGGAAAGGCTGCTGGCTGGAAGATTGCAGGTGCACAGGTATTTGCTGCTAATTAGACTGTGGGTTTTTTTCCCAGGATAATTAATGAACATACCTGGTTCTAGCCCACATGAAAAATTGCTTAGAGATGAAGTGCTCTAAACTCTGGATATGGTTTATTCAACTTCCACTTTGGAGTGTAACCAGTAAAATGAGTTGGGACAGGAGAATAAATGGGTTATGGGAATACGGATATATTATTAGAGAGAACTTTCATGGCTTAAAACATTGCTTTGGGTTCTTTTAGACTGGTGGTTGGAAGTGTTTAATAGATTTCCCATCACTATAATTTAAAAATCTAATAATTTTTTAAGACTATGCTGATGCATCTGCCAGCTCTTGTGCCTGGCACAAAAATATTTAAATCAACAGCTTATTTGGTGATACTACAATGTCTGAGCAAAGGAAGGAAGTGAGCCTTCAAAATGATTAAGTGAATTAGAAATTAATATACACCAAGCTAATCTCTATAGTATAAACTCGACAGAAAAAAAGTCTTCCTGGAGAGGAAATGCCAGTCATGGGAACGAAAGTGGAGGCTCCTGCTGATATTGGACAGAGGACGTGTCGGGTGTTTGAAATCAATCTCTTCCCTGGATCATTTCTCTTGCGCTCTTAAGAGTCTGCATTATATACAGCCATGTCAGGCCCTGAGCCCCATGACTTTGTTCGTCAGGAACTCGAAGAATGTTTCAGTTTTTCCAGAAAATGTTTTCTGTGTTAGGCTTTGTTTGTACTGGAGCACTTTGAAGACCAAAATCTGAACTTCAGCATACTTTTAATACATTTTAACAAGGTTTAAATTCACACTGGGCCAAAATATTCCCCTCCTCCTCCTTCTAACATCTTCTGGCTCTAAACATTACTCCTTTGAGGATTAAAAAAACCCCACAGAGGCATGTTTTATTAAAAAATATTTATTGACTATGAGTAACAGAAAAGCAGAGGTCGGAATCCTCAGTTGCCGGTGGCATGCATAAAATAATACGCTTCCTCGCCTGGACCACGTATGGTGATGGAGAGGCTGTGCCCACACCCTGGGGTGCTGCCGTACCCCCTGGGGCTGGAGCACGCAGGCAGCAGCCCAGCACGAGCACTGCCAGCATGTGATGACTGGTTCTGGTGGTGCCTGAGCTGCTCTCCTCAGCTCCTTCCCAAGGCCACATCGTGTGGAGTTTTGTTCCAAAATGACTCAAATGCAGTTGGCTTAGTTGACCCCTCCTCTATTTTTTTATTTTAATTTAAATTCTCTACACCAAATCTCCAAGGCAAAGGCTTTGCAGTAGGGCAGACACCATGCCAAGGCTGTGGTGGCAGTGGCTTGGAAGGATGTTCTTTAAACTGACCTGGCAAATGCATCTGATGTGCCAGATATCGTCAGTTCAACTCATTATCGGCATTGGAGGCCTATGTGGCACTGCCAAACTGCTGTGCTGGCCGCTCCCTGGCCCCGGGCTGTCCAGTGCTCTCAGAGGGTGAACTGATTGGGGATTTGCTTTTAGAAGGTGATGAAACCCAAGGGCCCCTGTCTGTCCTTTGTCATCTGAAATATCTCTTGTTGTTCTTGTCCCAAGTGTTTAGCTCTTGGATTTTGAGCAAATTCTGGCTCAGTGATGGTGGTGGTGGTGGTGGTGGTGGTGGCGGCGTGGGGGGAAGTTGTACACAAACATCTGAAGCCCCATCTGCAATCAGGACCAATTAGGTAATTAGAGACAGGCCCTGCCCTGTGAGCTGACAAACTTGCAAGATGGGAGAAAGAACCTGCAGGTAGATTTTTGTGTTTGTTTTTAAAAGGTATGAAATTTCTTTCATTTTTGAGTCTGGTTTATGATAATTTCAGAAAATAAATTGACAAGAACTGAAAAGACCCACCTGTTTGTGCAAAATGCCTGTTTAACAGCAAACCCACCTTTCTTTCTTTTTGTTTTCTGATGGTCTTGTACTTTGCAATTATTTCAGACGGCTGAATGGTAACATAAGATACTGGCCTTTTTTATTTTTTTTCATTTTGCTGGCTTTTGTCATGGCACTCACATTTGCATCGAAAGAGATTTCACTCCTGCATGTCCTCTGATGTGGAGAGAGGTTCGGGGAGTTGGCTTATGGAGTTTAATCAGAAATTTTGAGATACAGAAGTTGTTTGAATATTTTGGGGAGTCCTTTGACCTTCCATTTCATCTGGGTGATGGTCTCATTGTACTGAATTTTTCAGTTCAGCAATGTCAGTGACTGTAGAAGTGTGCAAGCACACAACCCAGTGTCAGCGTTTACCTTATCTTCTCTTCCTCTTTTCTAGAGTTCTTCAAAGAACTTCTCAAAAATGCTGAGAAGTCACTGAACGACATGTTTGTGCGGACATATGGCCGTTTGTACATGCAGAACTCAGAGCTGTTCAAGGACCTCTTTGTGGAGCTGAAGCGGTACTACGTGGGCGGCAACGTCAACCTGGAGGAGATGCTCAACGAGTTCTGGGCACGTTTGCTGGAGCGCATGTTCCGGCTGGTCAACCCTCAGTACCACTTCACGGACGAGTACCTCGAGTGTGTCAGCAAGTACACCGAGCAGCTGAAGCCCTTCGGGGACGTGCCACGGAAGCTCAAGCTACAAGTGACGCGTGCATTTGTGGCCGCCCGCACCTTCGCTCAGGGCCTCGCCGTCGCAAGGGATGTCGTGAGCAAAGTGTCTGCGGTGAGCTCCCTCTCATGATTATTTCCATGTCCCATGGACCCATGACGGGTAGTGTCCTTTCCTGTTGTCCTGACTAGGTACCTTGAAGTGTTGCTGGTAGTTCAGTGCAGGTGGGACCGAGGTCCACCTATGTTGGTGGTGCTGTTGCGTGGTAGGGTCACATTCTGGGGACACCATCATCCAGTGCTGCAGCCCAGCAGCAGCAGGGATGTTCCCTGGGCTGATGCTGTCCTCGTGTCTTAAGTAACAGCAACAAGCAGGAAATTAAGTACCTTCTGCAGTGGAAATAACTATGTTTGCTAGTGTAATGGCTGCATCCTCTTCTTAATATTGCCCTCAAATTATAGTGAGTCATGGATGCTACGGGCCTCTATTATGAAGCAGCTGATGATTTGTTCCTTGCTCACAGGCACGGGGAGAGGCTGTTAGCATGAGCAAACAGTACTTTTATGATAACAGTAAGCTGAAGCCATATGCACAGGGCAGGATCCAGCTGTATTTGGTGCCACACACACAGCAGGAGTTAGACCTCAAGCTTTTATGGTAAAGTCACTTTTTTGGTGGGGTCAAACAGATGTGATGTGTTGGTCACTTAAATGTATCTCCCTCTTATAAACCACTTTGGAGTGGTTTAACTGGGGCAACTTTATGTGAAATTTGTCTTTAATTTAGTATGGATTGTATGGTATAAGGTACAGGTGTGTTTGATAATCCCCTTAAAGTGATTGTGTAAGATAACAAATATTAGTGATTTTCTTTTAGCAAATTCAGCTCATTTCCTGTGGGCTATAGAAGATTTAGTATAATCATTTAATTGGGCAGAGAGGTTTACTTTCTCTCTGCCTGGTTACAGAGTAATAAAACACCAGGCTGAAAGGGCAGGTGGTAGTTTGAATCACCCTAAGTGACAGCAAAGGGGAAATTAAAAAAAAAAAACAAACAAAAAACCCCAAAACAAAACAAAACACAAAAAAACCCAACAACAACAACAAAAAAACCAGCAAAGAATAGCTGTTCAGGTACTCTTAGAAGCAGAAAGCAATTTTGGAGGCAGCACAAGCAGCATCCTTAAGTGATATTCGGATTGCTTTGACTTACAGGGATAATATTAAAACACTGCCTCTCTGGGAAAAGAATAATTTGCTCCATGTTAATTTTTCTGGAAGAGAAACGAATAAGACAGCCTGTGATAAGCCTGTGTGTGTGTGTGGTAGTGCAGAGAGTATTAGCAAGGAAAGAGATGCCACGCTAATACATCCAGGCTCCAGGAGCGAGTTGTAAGTTAGCGGTGGCAGTTTTGGGTCCTTGGACACCTTGAGTCCCCATTTAATAGTGATAACTCTCACGTTAGACTTGTCCGTGTGCTGCTGGTTGAGGATGGGTGTTGTGAAGCTCCGTGGGTGACGTGTGTGGGTCCCTCTTAAGAGACCATGAAGGAGACCCCAGCCTTGGGGATGCCATCCTGTGGTGGGAAGGAGACGTGGGAGGAAAGGTCGGTGCTGGATGAGGCCAAGCGTTGCGGCTCCGTGTCAGGTCTCTAGCTGAGCCTGCTGACCTCCTTGCTGGGATTTCTTGTTTCTGTCTGTGTGGCATTGTGGTAGATACTGTGATCAGAAAGAAAGGGAAAAAGAGTTTTCATAGCTGGAGAGTGCAGCTGAAGTATTTGGGTGGGAGGTCTGTCTGCTAAGTCCTAGTATGGTTTTTGGGAATGTGCAATCACTTGATAGTCAGTAAATGTGCATGGTTGAGGGATCGTGTTTATGCTCCATCTGCTCAGAATTCATCAAAACGTCTCCAGACTTGACACGGGACCACGAGGGCCACGGTCCCCGCATCTGTTATGAATCAAAGTCATGAACCCGAGGTGGCGTCGTGATTTCTCATTCGCTTTTGAAGATCCTAGAGTGTAGAGTTGCCTTCAACTCTAGAATTAATTGCTGGAGTGTGGAGGGTTACCCACTCAGCTGCAAAAATAGCTCACGTGCTGTGGGTGATCACAGTTACTGCTCTTTCCACTTCACATTCACAAGTTGCGCTGGAAATCCTGCAACAAATTGACTTTTCAAAGTGGTAGCAAAAGTCCCTGCTGCTGAATACCTAAGCTTTAGTTGCAGCTAAATAATAGTAATCTTTTCTGTAGTATTTTAATCTTATTCAGTGGAAATCTTAACATCGTGCCTCTGCAAGACACAAATGGGAAATTCTATTCATGAGTTTAAAAACTGCTGCTTTGGGCCTGCTGCTTTGCGGTTGTGTTTTGGGGCTTCCCACATAACATGTACATTAGCCTGGCTTTGCTGAGCTCTATATAATGACTCTATTGACTTTGCTTCCTTATTATTTTTACTCAGGAGTTGTACTGAGATGACTGCTTATACCATGGATTAACTCGAGGGATAAATCTTCTGTTCTTATTTATGAAAAAAAAGTCCAAAGCAATGCAGATTATTTTTAATTCATTAAAAATGCTTAATTTGAAAATCTTCATGAGGAGAAATACAAACAACTGCAAGGCCCAGGTGCTTTTTACTTTCCTGGGGTGCTCTCAGGAGAGGAAAGAGCACTTTACTGTAGAACGGCCTTGATGGCTTTTTAATGATCCTGTATACTTTTACATCTTCACTGGGGAGATGCATTTAGAAAAGTATTGTTCTTCCCTGACTTTGGGAGTAAAGGGGGAGGAGAAGAGAGAATACTGAAAAGCTGCAAGTATGCTTGATTTTTGAGCCAGAATGCTAGAAAATATCTTTTAACTTGGCATTGGATGGATCAGAAGCCGTGTGCTGCTGCCTAAACACACAACAGAGAGAAAGCGTATGGTTTTGAGAGAAAGCACAGACGTTTTACAAACTGTATCTGAAAACCGCGATTTTGAGGAGTGAAGACTTGAGCATCGAGTTTCCTCCTTTGGATCCAGAAAGTACAAAATTCTGCAGGTCCATCCTGAGCAGCAGATCTGAGCAGAAAGCCCAGGGTGCCGTTTCTGTCCTGTGTCTGAGATGGGCTGTGAGGGCTGGGGGCCTCCAGGGCTTCCCTCGGTCGCCTGCTGACGCCTGATGCTTTCTCTCTGACCTTCCTGCCCTCACCTTCGGGAGACGGAAATCTGCCCATCCCCTAATCGCTTGCTTGCTACTTAGACCTCGACAAGCACTAAAATCAGTCAGGTTAAATTGCTGCCAGCAGTGACATTTCCTGCCCCAGCTAGTGTTGGAAGAAAGAAGCAAATACAAGCCAGAGGCCAGAGTGACCAAAAAAGGGTGAGAACCTACAACTGGGCAGTTCTCAAGCTGCAGAGATGTTCCCTTAATTAGTTACATACGATTAAACCTGCAAGTCCGGTCCAGGGTCATCATGCATTTGAGGGCAAAGCACCCAGGGGCTTATTGAAGTCAACTACAGGTATGGGCTGGAGGCCCCCATTGTGGGGGGAGAAGAAGGTGAAGTCAAGGACTTGGGCCTCTAACTATTTTGTGGGGTCAGGAGGAGCCTGCTTGACCCAAGTTTTCGGAGGGGAGGTCTGGCTGTGGAGGTCAGCAGCAGATGGAGGTGCATGAAAGATGAAGTGGATAGCCAGGCAACACCAAATCCCTGTGTTTGCATCACTGTCTCTCTGCAGAACTGCAGACAGGGATGTGCAGATGGGACCTCCTGCAGTTGTGGTGAGAATTTTCTGCAGCCCACTAGGAGATTTATGCTGATGAACTGTTGTTTTGGGGTTATTTTTCCACTTTTCCCTCTTGCTCTTGTGTCTGATCATTTGAGAAACTACTGGGGAGCCTCCATAGCTCCCAACAAGCATTTGTGTGCTGAAAGCCACACGAGGTACAGTTGCCACCAAAGCAGCTAGGCCTTTCAGCCTGTCCTTGGCAACCCTGGGAAAGGCAGCAGCTTCAAAGTTGTATGCAAGAAATGGTGTTTAATTTGGAAGCACAGATCTGAGCCATATGAAATAATACACAGTTCCATATGAGGGAAATATCTACCTCCTCATCTGCTGTCCTCAAGAGACATTAACAGCCGAGAGGAAGCAGCTGGAGATGTTCATGGTGGGTGGAGGAGGCTCAGCTAACTTGGTATTGGCATTTCTTCCCTAAGGAAGTGTGATGATAGCAACCAAGGAGGGCATTTTCTTCAAACTGTTTATGGAAGAAAATTGCGGAGGGGACAGGTGATTCCCTTCCCACAGCTGCTCTAAAGCTGGAACGAGAGCCTGGTGCATCTCCTAAGCCGTGACTCCTGCCCTTTTCGGCATGGATGCTGAATATGGACCAGACATTAGCTTAGGAGAAGCAGTGATAAAATAATATAATGGTGAATTAATAAGAATTAAGGCCTGTATTATCAAAAATATTGGGGCACTGAGTTTCCATTTCAGTGACTGTTGCACCCCTCGTTACTACCATTTGAGTATCTAAAAATTTAATCAGAGACCAAAGGTCTGATCTCCCTTCATGTGATCTTTGCCCTTGGTTTGACTTAAGGAGAATGTGACTTAAATCCTTCTTTAGGAAGAAGTTAATGTTCCTGTATCCAAAAAAGCTGAGCAACCTTCAGGTAACAGCAAACCCTTCTGGGGAAACGACAGAAATGAAGTGTTGTTTGCGTGCGTTGAGAAGAGACCGGGGGCAGATGCTGCTGCTTCATGGACAACCCAAAACCAGCCAGAAGAGCCAAGGAGCCGTTTTAGTGTTGCTGAGGAGCCTCTCAAGGAGCAGTGCTGTCCAGGCAGCAAGTTGCAAGCCGTGGGGCCAGGCCGAGGGGCTGCCATGCACAAGGACATTGCCTTCCACGTGCCAAGGGCAAACATCAATGCAGAAAACAATACCAACCACTCCTCCACATCAAAGATGACCCTGAGAAGACCTGCCAAGAATGTGGCTGCATCTGCCTCAGCTCCAGCCATCTGAGGGTCTGCATTAGGCACAGCCTTCAAAGCATGCTCAAGCGGCTATCATCACGGATTTAAAGGGCTGAGAGTGCACATGGATGCGGCTGTGGCT